GGTGGGCAACCGCAATGTGGTCAAACGGGTCCCACCCGGAGTATGCGACGCGAACAAGTATTCTCATGGAATAAAAACTACTTCTAAACTGTGAAATATTCAACTTTATTTGACAAATCCAATCGTTCACAATAATTTAACATATCATCAACTGAGAATGCAGTCCTTTTTCTCTTTTTTATTTTCGTAACAACAGTGTGATTCATCATCTTTGATTCATCGTCGGTTTTCATATTTATTCAACAGATCAGAGTGTCTTTCTAATTTTCCCTTAGTCTTCATTTAATAGTTTGGCCAAACAATGAACTAGTTTTGAACATAATACAAAACTTTGACTGTAACATCAATGTATAACAAAGCTTGAATGAAATCTATATATTGCAAGTAGATGCCTGCAATATAAAAGTTTATTATTGCTTGTAATTTTTCATTTCATCAAAGCGTGTACCACCGCTTTGGCATTCAATGATTTCAGGTCAGTGTAAGTTTGGCCAGTTCCAACAAAAACAATAGGTTGACCAGTGATGTATGTCATTGTAATAGCTGCGCCAACCTGTAAATAATTTTCATGAGAAAAGATTGTAAATGCTGCACAATAATAAAAAAATAATAGATATTATATAGGAAAATATATTTTTACATATATATATGTATGCGGTTTATTATTATATATAAAATACAATAATTAGGATATATATAATTATAGGTTTTCTATAATAAGCCATTATCTAAACTTTAAGTCTTAAGCCACAAACAACTGATCAATCAGTCAAATGTGAGAAAAATTTATATATATAATTGGTTGTATATATAAGAATCTATATATAATTGGTCAATTTTTTATGACCTAAGATTTAAAGATTAGATAATGATTTATTGTAGAAGGTCCATTATATTTCATATTACATAGGGTGTTCTAAAATCACTTCTCGTGAGTAGGTAGAGCAGACTAAACTAAGTCGAACTGTCCTCTACCATTTTGCAATTTTCGCAATAGTTAACAAAGAATTACTAAAAATTGCCAAATGAGTGTGTATCTGCCCGGCCTACCGCCAAATGGAAGTGCACATGATCTGCTTAGCGTTATAGGTTGTTAAGGCATGTGGAGAATTGTTTAATACAAGCAGTAAAGGTGCTTCTATATAATTCGCAAATCACAAAACATAGTTCACAAACTTCGGCGACGTTTAGGAATTAATTTCTTATTATGCGAAAAATGCAAAATAATACAGGACTTTTTGACTCTATTTGGTCTACTTTACTTGCTCAAATAATGCATAATGCATCGAAGTTGTTTGGTAATATTTAAACGTATTGTTTGATAATACTTAAACTATCAAAATTTTTAATAAAAAGTTGAAATGGATATCTGGATACTCGGGCATTGACATAAAGATTAGAGGATCAACAAAAAAAATGTAACAAAGATCGTTTAAAAAGATATATAAAAGAAAATCTTACCTTATCATCGATCGTATCAAATTTTGTCAATACGATACCGTCGATAATATGAGGATTGGCAGATTGACTGTAGTCAGCCAAAGCTTGATTGAATTTCACCAGCTGATCCACAGCCTCATTCCCGACGAGAGCTTCTCCCACAAATAATACCAAGTCCGGCTCGTTTACTTTAATTAGCTTTGCCAGAGCTCGCATCAATGGTTCATTATCTTGCATTCTACCAGCAGTGTCAACCAGGACAACATCAATTCTGGAATCCTTCGCAAAGCGAATCGCCTCCATGGCAATACCTGCGGCATCTTTACCGTAACCCTTCTCATACAGCTGCACCATCGACTGATTCCCATGCTTTTCTGGTGGATGCAGAGCATTCAAATGACGCATGTGTGTTCTCAGTTGTTCAACAGCTCCAGCTCTAAATCACAAAATTATTGTCATTATAAGCTCTTATACATTAACTTTTATTAGAATTTATATTAACAGAATTGAGGCACTTATATGACAAATTAACGCGACAAATTAATACCTTAAAAAAAATTATTTTAGACGTTTAAAATAAATATATATAATATATGTGCATAAAGAAAAAAATATATAAGAAAGATATTATTGTTTCAAGAGACATATATTTATAATGAGAAAATATTCATTTACCTGAATGTATCGCATGCGGCTATTAACACGCGGAAATTGTTTTCTATTAACCAGAAACAGATTTTTGCCAGATTCGTCGACTTGCCGACCCCATTGACGCCACAAAAAGTCATCACGTAAGGCCTGTTGCCGTTCTTAGCTTCTAAAGCGTCTCGTAGAATATCGATTCTCCTTTTGGGCGACAATATTTGTACTAAAGCGTCTGTTAAAGTGGCTTTTACGGTATTTGCCACGCTGTCAAAGGTACCGAGTATCTTTCCTTCCAATTTTGTGCCGACAGAATCGCATAACTTCTGCGCGATGTCCGCAGCAACATTTTTAGTAATTAGATGATCTTTCAATTTCTCCAAAACCGGCAACATATCTTCTTGTTTTAGAGATTTGCTGCCAACTAGACTCTTGAACATAGAGAACATACTCGTTTTCTTTTGCACTTGCTGCTTGGATTGCTCTATCTCTTCCTGATCGGAACTATCCTCAGATTCGCTGTTCACCTCGAGATCGCGTATGCTACCTTTCATCTGTCCAACTAGCTACAGAAAATGATGAGAATATAAATAAGCAATATAAATAATGAAAATATAAAACCCAATTTCTTCGACTAAAAGTCAATTTATTCAATGCATCCTTTTTCTTTTATATTTTCTTTTAATCTTTTGTTTGTTTTTTTCCGATTATATTCTTTAATCCAGTATTGTAAGAATTAATTCATTATATATTGTTACATAAAATTTTTTGAATTTTTACACACACACACAATTTTCAAAAAATAAAAAATAAAGACACAAAACATGATTAATTATCAGTTAGAGATATCAAATTTAATAAGAGAAATTATAAGACTTTCTGTCAATAAAATAGAAATAGGATGCAAATTTTTCAATAAACTTGATATTAAAAGAATACAAAAGAAAAAATATTACAGCTGTATTGGCTGCCACATAGTCATCATTCTCCTCGGGCTTGTCTTTAGTTCGCTCTAGCGTAGCAAGATCCTTGGTTGTGCCACCCAATTCCCAGATGCGCGGTTTTTTGCCGGCTTTCTCAGGTTTAGGACTTTTCCTAATACAATATTTGTTATGTTATTTAATTTATAATTTTATCATTATATGTATAATATATATATTATCATTATATGTATATATATTAAAAATAAAAAATTGTTTATGAAAATAAAATAATATAACCTTATTAAATATTTGATTAATTCAGTTAAAAAAATCTGGAAGATTACTTTTTCTAATATTAATGTAATTTAATCCTAATATTAATATAATCAAGAAAGTAATATATGCTCTTCTTACTGCTTGTCAGCTTTCTTCTTTTGTCCTGCCATTTTCTGAGCAAGTTTCATACGATTGGCGATCAACGTTTCTTCGTCAAGTTCCCCGTTATGTTCCACTTGATGTTTCGGCAATTCCTGTTTTGGAACATCTTGAATTTTTGCTGCAGGATTTAAATATATTTAATTTAATACAAATCACTGAAAAAGAGAAACATTCCAAACAAAACTTTAATGAAATAAAGTTACGTTTGTTAATTTAATTATTTTATTCATGCAATATTGTGCATATTATGCAATATTAAGATATGCAATACTGCACCAACATGCAAGGATTTAGTAAACTACTATAATATAAAACATTAAAGCTTACTTACTATGATAATCCCCATTACAGTTATTTGCTTTCTTCTTTTTACCTAGAAGCGAAGAAGAAAAATTCCTATTGTTTTAGTATTATCCAGATCAGAAGGAGAAAATTAGTGAATAAGCTTATAATTCTAAATGTTACATAAATTTGCTTACTGTCTCATACCGCAAAAATAAAACAAGCACGCGATACTCCTACACTTTTATTCTACTATACTATACTTCTTTTTTCCTTAGGATGTTGTTATTGTATAAA